GTAAATACGCGGAAATTATGCGAAATCACGCGCTCCCGATCGTGAAATTCGTTCCTTCGTAAGCGCAAACGGAAGCTCGTCGATTCCGGAAGCACGCGATCGGCCAGCCTAAATTTAAGGTCTTTTTTAGAAATTAGCGGCGGAAAGGCGGATATATATCGCGAGGGCGACTATCGCTGCAATTTTGTGAATGAGAGAGCAAGGGTTTGCCTGCGAGAGCGAGACAAATTGCGAGATAAAGTGAACGTCTGAGAGAATGCATCGGCGAGTGTATCCGTTGGCGAGAATGTGATATCGAGCGAATGAGAACGATCGTGTGAAAGGGAGAGAGCGAAAGTATGAACGAGAAAGAGAGTAAGGTGTGTTGAGAAAATGAGATGTAAATGTGTGTGCGAGATAGGAGAATAAACAAAATTTTACTACCAAGTGGACTAGAATCGCAACCGATGGGCATTATTAAGCGAAAATAAAATTTTCGGAGCGTTTTTTCGACGAAGAAAAGCGTCCAAAATTGTACCTATTTTCATTTTATAAATTATATATATATATATGTATATGTATATGTATATGTATAGATATACGACGACCTAAATGATTATTATTGCAAGATGTAATTGCAAGAGAGAGAGAGAGAGAGAAAGAGAGAGGGAGAATGTGTGAAAGAGAGAACGAGAGAAAGAGAGAAAGGGAGAGAAAGAGAGAAAGAGAGAGAGAGAGAGAGAGAAAGAGAGAGAGAAAGCAAGGCGGTAGGAAGACGATGAAAAATAAAAAATTATTGTATCTATATTCGGAAAATGATCGATGATGTATTCGAATCGTGATTATTATTATTATATATTATGATTATTGTGTATAGTTAAGGCAAAAATGGAATTTTAGACGAAATTATCGAACTCGAGGTATACATATAGGGAGCGTAAGTGAGAAAGAGCGCAAGGGAATAAGAAAGAGCGTGAGAGAGAATGGGAATGAGAGTGAAAGAGAAAGAATTTCTCGATGGTGATTGCACATTGCATGTCGACAGGCAACAAAACAGAGTCCCCCTCCCCTCCAGTAAAGTCAATAGTCAAAACCAAGTCACGGCCGTAAAGAAACGCGTGTCAAAAACGATTTTTCGAGATCGCGAATTTTCGGGAAAAGTTTTCAAATTGTCACGAGCGACTTTTTTCCATTTTTCGAAACCGCGGTTCTTTCGAAACGAAAAAGAAGAAACAAAATTAGAAATTCTGAGTGATTATCGTTTCCTTTGTACCAGGACCAAAAGAAGAAAGCAAATAGCCGAATATATATCTATATATAAAAATATACATATATGTATGTATGTATGTATGTTCGTATATACGTACATACATGAACCAACACACGCAACACGTACGAGACGTGCGAGAGCGCGTTCCCCGGCGCGACGATCCTGCCGGATCGACACGCGATCGCGACTTCGCGCAACTTTCGGACAACCAGAACGAGTGCCTCGGGTCCGACCCAGTACGGGGACGGGCCCAGATTTGGGAAAATTTTTGCCGGCAGATCGACGCGCTCGGGGATTCGCGGAGAGGAGGCGAGGCGATAGGAGGCAAAAGTAGCTCGGTAACAGCAATAGTACAGGTCGAAATAGGCAAAAAAAAATTTCGGAAAATAGTTCAAACGACCAGATTTTTTGGAAAACGATGTCGGAACAGCGGAAACAAAAATCGCGTAAAACACGAGGCAATATGTAGTTGTATACTTTCTCTGTCGCGCACAGATCGCAATTTCAGTTCTCCCGTATCGCGATCGTGGATCGATCGTTGATAGACTTTCCGACGCTCACGGCGACACCGGCGTCGTCGGCGACGGTCCGTTCGATCGACAGCGAGTTCTTTGCTGCGCGATCAATCAACCCCGAACCATCCCACGATTGAGAGAGAAATCGGCGAGGTTGCCGTCGACGACGTCGCTGTGGCTTTCTTTTTTTTCACCGCGACGTATCCGTTTTTCTCACCAGTATTGCGCCCCTCTTCCCCACACCCCTGCAAACCCCTGCCTAATTACAACAGTATCCTTACGTGCGGTACAAATCCCGCGGATATATCCCGTTCCCACCCTGACCACTCCACCGAACACCAAC